ATTCATAGGAGAAAGTACTGAGTGTAACTGCTAATTTTTTAATTGTTTTTTTTTCCGTACTAGTATTGGCAATTCTTATACTTATTTTACCGATGAGCACATATATTTTAAAGTTTGGTTGGTTTTTTTTGCTCTTGGACTCTTTTCTTTCTGTACAAATGAACAGAATACTTCGTTTTTGTCGGTTTCATCACAACTTGGAACCATTCTCTGTTCAGCAAATGACTGGTAGGCACAAAATTAGTGTACAGAAATGTCAGTTTACATGTTATTTCATACTTGTGCAATCGGTTCTGCCATGGACTCTATTATCTGCTCTTCTAAAATCACTCTGCAAGGATTGGGGACTGCTACGAATCCAGGTTCTCCTTCCTAAACGATCCTTCAGAAACACTCCTCAAAACGTATAAAAAGTCCCAATGTACTTGATTTCTCGTTGCTATTTTTTTTCGTTTCATATCACCCAAGCTTTTTTCAAGAAAAGGAATCAAAGTTACGAAATTCTATTTCAAGATTTTTTTCATAAACAACAACTTTTATTATTTTAAGCAATTATGAGTAAATATGCACAAATAAAATTATGAATGTAATGAGCCTGTCTTAATTTTTTCCTGCTCGCATTATTATTCAATTATAAATTTTGTTTTCCTATCTTGTTTTCTTTTCTGGATTTTCCCAAGTTATACGGGCCAACTGAATTATGCAACCATTTTTGGTTGTTTGTACTTTTTTCACAGCTCCCCACCCTGTGACCCTTTTTCAGGAGTACACTTCCTCCCCTCGTCCTCGAATCTCTTGTGATCATCAATTCTTTATATGAGCGAATTAATCCACTGTCTTAGAGTTGGTGACACAATTCCAATGATCAGCTGCCTATTTTTGTCGGTAGCCGCGTCAACGAAATCCTCGAGTCAGCCATCACTGACAAATGGCATCACCTTGTGAGCGCAATGAACCAGCTGATACCCATATGCGAAAAACTCTTCGGGAACCCCCTAGAAAAGCAGCTGGGATGCTAGTCCGAACACTCTTTGATTAATCCGACCAAGCTAACACTATTAAAATTTACTTAAAGGGTTCGTCTTGCGAGGTCGACAATTGGGTGGAGTTGCCTTCTACTTTTGCTGCCGATGATGCTTCAGTCATGACATGTGAGCATGAGTTTAATTAGGAAAAATCTATTTGAATGGTATCAAAGTAAATTCAAATTAAGGCCATCAAGTAAACTATTTCAGTGTAGCAAGTTGGAATTTAAACCCCCTAAAATTTTTTCGAAAGATCTGGCAATGCGGTTTAAGCTTTAGGACAATTCTTACGGTCTCCCTAATTATTGATACGGCGGATAACTTTCCTTCAACCATTTGCAATGTCACAAATGCAGTTTTGTTTGACACCCATCTGCCACTAGCTAGATTGTTAATTGGTAATGTGCATATTAGCGTTTGCATCAAGGATTGGAATTCATGCGTTCCGTTATAAAATTATAATTTACTAAAATAGGATTACTTTAAACACTGAGGTTTACTTTATACCACTGCGTAATACGTCCTAAACGGAAAGCAAAAGATCGTTACACCGATGATTTTCAATCTAACGATCAAATGGCTCAGCTAAAAGCAATTCCTTTTTTCAATCACAAGTGGAGAATACTTCGGAAAGTTTTAGATCCCGACACGTAGGAGCACCGACAAAAGATTCTCTTCGCTTGTCTCAGCAGTAGACCTGACATCATCACTTGGCGCAAATTAAACGATGATGGGCATTGAGCGGACTTCCATTCGCAAATTCAAATTTGATGGGCATTGAGCGGACTTCCATTCGCAAAATAAAATTTGATGGGCATTGAGCGGACTTCTATTCGCAGATTGAAATTTGATGGGCATTGAGCGGACTTTGCTTCGCATCACGATAGACTTAAGCCGTTTTCACGCACAAATGACTTGCATCTACCAACAGTCTGAAATTAAATCGAACTGGTGCATGCCATTAAGTGTAATGCGTGTCCTCTACGAGATCCTGGCAGTAGTCGTGCTACCGAAATAGTGCTAGGGACAATTTTGTGTCTAATTGAGCAAGCTCTGAAATCTTGGTCAATCAATCCGGTTAGGGACGATACAAGTGAGTTAGAAGCGTTAACCCCAAATCACGTTTCGCTTGGCAGCAAGCCGCAAGCTTTTTTTGCTTTCTTCTATGGAAAAAGTAGGGGATCACCATCTCCTGACGACCACCAGAGAAAATGATCACAGTCGTACGCGATCGTTTTTTAGTCTGGCTGAATATCAGCGTATCACCCTCTCAACCGCATCGTTAAATTGAATTCCTCAAAAATTTAACCTTCCTCAAATAACAATTTCGATTGAACTCAACCGTTAAGATTGCTCAGTTGCTCCCAGTTTAGATGGATGCACGAGATGATGCCGTTCAAGTATGATTGAATTGGGAAAAAGTCAAATTTTAGCTAAAAAAAGATTGGACTAACATTGTTAACTAAGCATGGTCAGCCAGTCGAAACGGTCTTAGTTAATAGCTTGAAAAGAAGTGGCGCGATTCGGCGAATGTTCGAATTTAGCATACTACATCAACCATTAAACTTGACCTATCAGTGATTTTAACCGTAATTTAATGGTTGGAAAGTGCCAGTATAAACTTTAAATTAGTTTGTAGCCAAGTTGAAGCGCTCAAATTTTGTTTTCGATTTTTTGAATCAAGAATTGGTATAATCGAATGTCTCGGACAAATTTGGTATGTTTCAATTTTCCCGACCAACATATAGTACGTTTGAACTTTCCTGACTAAATTTTGGCATGCTTCCACTTTCTGAACTCAATAAAAAAAGTTTGGACTTTGTTCGACCTTGTCCAGATATTTTGAATTTTTTGTCCAAAAATTGAAAGGTTTTTACTTTCTCAACTGTCTCAGCCGACATTTAGAAAAATTTATTGAATCCGCATAAAATTTTTGTGAATTATTCGTCCAAAAGAGGGTGTTCCGACTGTCTCACATTTCTGAACAGAAAAGAAAATTCCAAAATTCATTTGACCCATCTGCGATTTGTTAATTTTGTAGAATTGTTTTATCCTTTATGTGACTTTGGAGCAAAAAGTAGAATGGTCCTAGAGCAGAAAAAATATGAGAGTGGAAGCACGCAAAAAAGTTTTTGTTTGCTAATTGACAAAATCAAGTACGAGGAGCGTCAAAATTACAAATAAAAAAGTTATTATAAAATTGAGTTATTTAAACAAAATGAGTTCTATTAAAAGGAAAAAGTACAGAGTGAAATTACTATTTTTTAAAGAATTTAATCATTTCATTTATAGTATAGTCGATCATAATACTTAGTTTATCGACGAATCCGTATTTTTATTGTTTTCCTGGTTTTTCTGCTATTGGACTGTTTTTGGTTTTAGACCATTCTGCGCCTGACCGGTCATTCTTTTCTGATTTACGGCCAAACTTTGCACAACTTCTAATCGAGATTATGTTTTTTAAATGACTTTTAACTAGTTTTGTCTGAAAATTGTCTCGCCCGCATCTTTAGGTTGAACTACACAAAAAATTAAACGCCCTCAAAAAAAGTTTGATTGAACTCATCCGACCGACCGCTAACCTCATTCCAATATTTCCGAGTTCAGTTGCGCGAGATGTTGCCGTTCATGTTTTAATGAACATTAAAAAGTCAAAGTATATTTAGAAGAAGATTGCAATAACACTTCAGCCAATTAAAAATGATTGGCCAAGCAAAACTGTCTAAGACAAAAAAGCTAGTAATTAAGTAGAGCGATTCGAATTCAGCATGTCAAGTCAATTTTTAAATATGAAAAATAACTGATCCCAACCGTGTGTAACTCTCGTATTGTGCCGATATGAACTTAATATTAGCTCGTAGCCGAGTTAAAGTGCTCAATTTATGTTTCGGCTTTTTTGACCGAGAATCGGTATGTTTTCAACCGTCTTGAACAAATTTTGGTACACTTCGACTTTCTCGACCAAATTCTGGTATGGTTTGATTTTGTCGACTCAACGAACAAGTTGTCGACTTTTTTTTACCCGATTCAGATATGTTTAGACTTTTTCGTCCAAGAGAAATTGAGATGTTTTAACTTTTTTCAACTGTCTCAACCGAACTTTTTACATGTGTTCGACCCTTTATAAATAAGTTTCTCGACCAAAAACGGGTAAGTTTCATTGTCTCACTTTATCAAGAAACAAAAAATTTCCAAAAATCGTTCGACCCATCTCAGGTTTGCTTTCGCTCGAAAAATTTTGGTCTTTTTTGTGGCACTGGAGCTCTAAGCAGAACAGTGCTAGAGCAAAAAAGTCTGAGAGCAAAAACCCGCATAAAATTTTTTTTGGCTAATTGATGAAATTTTTGTTAGCTTAAGTACGAAAAGAGTCCAAAATGCAAACGACAAAAAAAAGTTTTACTAAGGTTGAGTTAATTCAAAAAACTTAATTCTATTCATAGGAGAAAGTACTGAGTGTAACTGCTAATTTTTTAATTGTTTTTTTTTTCCGTACTAGTATTGGCAATTCTTATACTTATTTTACCGATGAGCACATATATTTTAAAGTTTGGTTGGTTTTTTTTGCTCTTGGACTCTTTTCTTTCTGTACAAATGAACAGAATACTTCGTTTTTGTCGGTTTCATCACAACTTGGAACCATTCTCTGTTCAGCAAATGACTGGTAGGCACAAAATTAGTGTACAGAAATGTCAGTTTACATGTTATTTCATACTTGTGCAATCGGTTCTGCCATGGACTCTATTATCTGCTCTTCTAAAATCACTCTGCAAGGATTGGGGACTGCTACGAATCCAGGTTCTCCTTCCTAAACGATCCTTCAGAAACACTCCTCAAAACGTATAAAAAGTCCCAATGTACTTGATTTCTCGTTGCTATTTTTTTTCGTTTCATATCACCCAAGCTTTTTTCAAGAAAAGGAATCAAAGTTACGAAATTCTATTTCAAGATTTTTTTCATAAACAACAACTTTTATTATTTTAAGCAATTATGAGTAAATATGCACAAATAAAATTATGAATGTAATGAGCCTGTCTTAATTTTTTCCTGCTCGCATTATTATTCAATTATAAATTTTGTTTTCCTATCTTGTTTTCTTTTCTGGATTTTCCCAAGTTATACGGGCCAACTGAATTATGCAACCATTTTTGGTTGTTTGTACTTTTTTTACAGCTCCCCACCCTGAGACCCTTTTTCGGGAGTACACTTCCTCCCCTCGTCTTCGAATCTCTCGTGCTCCTCTCTTAGCATCTTCTGTCTAGCCATTGGCACCGGCTGCAGCATCAGAAGATTCTTCACTGCACAGTATCGCATGTCTTTCACCTCGTGTCTTACATTCGGCATCGTCACCGGCGAGATGTTGGCGTCCCGCATCAACATGCCCAAGTAGACGTCGTCCCGCTTGAAGTAGGGCGTAATCGCAGTCTACAAAAAACAACAGATTTGTTTATTTTATTCTGTTTATTTGCACGAGGAGAACGTTTTAAAGAGAAAATGAATCTATCAATTTGATTTTTCACTTTTTTTTGAAAAAAAAACGCTGTCTAAATATTAGCTAAATGCAACCCATCCAGGTTTTTAAAAATTATAGGAATAGTATTAATAACTTATAATTTAATTTAAGTAATATGATTTTGCAAGACCAATAAATGTTACTTAAACTGTCGGCTCTACCCCCCCCCCCCCCCCCAATTTTCCATTTTCTCAGTTGTCTTGCATGCTAAAATGACTGAATGCGTGATGTTACGATGTAAAGTATGAAGAACAAATTGTTCACAATGCAAAGTTTCATTGCATTATGACCACGCAAAATTAGTTTTTCGAAACTGAAACTCAACAGTGGGCAGAAGTGGAAAAGAGCCGAACTGCCTGAAACCAATTTGATATTAATTGAAAACAAGTCCCATACCTGAGCTAGAAGTTTGTCCCTGATATCCGGGGTCATAATGACAGCTGACCCATAGCAGAATGACGGGTACACCTCGTGTTCGAACTCTTGTTTGCCCACATAAAACTTCGAGTTTGGGTTGCGGTCTGGTTTCCTACTCTAAATCACAGAATTTGTGCTCTTAGAAGCCATTATAGAGTCAACATAAACATTAGGTGAAGTAGGGACTTTGATATTGGGTTGGGGAGCAGGGATCATGGAGGCCGTATATTGATACAAGTGTTGAGCTACAAGGGTTGAACTACAAGGATTTAACTACAAGGGTCGAAACTATTGATGTATGATCTTACATCTGCGCAGTCCCCTCCAATGAAGTTGTGAGAAGGTAGTTCCCACAAGTAGGGTATAAGCCAGTCCCGCCTGATCATGACGTCATCGTGCACTACCATTATGTAATCGACATCATGGCAGTGGTGCTTCGCATAGTGCAAACCAGCCACCAATTTAACGCTGAATCATAAATTGATGTTTCATTTTTCATTATCAAATCGGCATACTTCAACCCAAAGTAGCTACAAGCAAAAAATATCAACAGCTGCAGTTGATATCAACGACAAATGCGGTTGATTGTTTTTTGTAATCATTTTTTGCTGGGGATAATATCAGTTTCACCTTAGCCTACCTTAATTTAAAATACGTGTGTTATTTCATAACTTTTATCCTAATTTCACTTTTTTCATCAAGGACTTTCAAATTTTTTTCAGCAAAGATGAGAGAATTCAAACAAAAGAATAAATTTAAACATGAAAATTCAAACTAAAACATGATTGCCTAGCAGCCACTGTCACAGAAGTATGTATTAAATTGGATCTCATCCTTTTGCTTCTCAATTCCTTTTGGTTCTCAATACTTTTTGCATAATTTAAACAACACAGAAAAATATTGAGTTTTTTAATTACCTAAGTTTCTTCATGCGTAGAAATTGTTGGGAATTTTTTATGTTACTTGCACAGTAGCCGGCAAAGTGTAAGCTTTTTGTTAAAACTGAAGTAGTTGTGTAAAGCAAAGCAAATTTTGGCCACTGCTTTTTTGTTTTCGAAAACCAGGCTGCATATTCTGTCGGATTGAATTGACTCTGACGCGACTAAATTGAGTTTTGAACAGCAACTTGACTAGGTAATTTAGTCTAAAACGGTACGAAACACGACTCCCAAAGTGTTTTCTTCAGCCGTCGACTTTGACCCGTGTTCGCTGCGCTGTTTGAATGATTGTAAAAGCAAGGAAAACTTAAATCTTCACGTCTACCTGATGTTTGTGTAGTCCTCAATGTAGTCTACGAGTAGCATGTCCCTGTAGTCCACCATCTCACGACTCAACTCCCCGAACTCATTGTGCCACACTCTCATATTGTCATCCCGCAGAGCTGACCGACCAACGCCCATCACATATACAGACTAACAAAAATCATTTTTCATCAGTTGGGGGAACTTTGTGCGGCATTCCTTAGCCTATGTAACCCACTGTACAACGCGAATAAGAGTTTCTCTTTTATCATTCAGTTTAAGCGAATTCAAGTTACCCATGCATCTGAAAACTTCTAAATTTAACAAATTTATCCCATTTCTGAAGTGATCAAGATTGCCCCATATAGGTGAAAAGAAAATAGCTTTGAAACTCCTGTCAAAGCAGCTGTTTTGGGGCTTTAGCAGATGAAAAAAGCCATGATCAAATACCAAAAGGAAAGACAAATCTCATACGGGCAAAGAATTCGAAAAAAGGATTCCTAGTTCGGTATTTTTGTCGTCAGCAGGGTAATAAAAAAAGTCACAACTAATAGTTTCGACCTCTTAGAGTTTGAAAAGGAAATATTCAACTTTGAGTTTTAGAGATGTATTACCTTAAAGCCCTTACAGTCGTGTTTTTGATTCCAAAAAAATCAAAAAGTGTGCTTAGCGTCCAAAAATCTGGTTTAAACATTTCTGTTTTTTCAAATTTTAAATGCAGGTTGCGAGCTTAACATTTCAGTCATTTCAGATTAGTTACGTCAGTAGAAATGAAATAGCGTCACCTTGGACCGAAATCCACCGGCCAATTTTTTAAATACATTCCATTCCGGTCAAAATATAAATGTTTTGCTATATCTTTGGTAAAAACTGGTCAACAGAGAAGAGCAATGACTATCAATTTTCTAGTTTTTATCTTTTCAAACCCCAATAACTTTGGACAAAACGATCAGATGTCAAATATATTTTGAATTTGGGACAGTAGTTCTTTTTAGATGACATGCAAAAAAATTCTTTTCAAAAATAGCTATTTTAAAACTAAAGTTTTGTCTGGAGAAAAAACACACAAACAGCGAAACTGATCATAATGTGGCAAAACCGTGAACGTTTTGATTTGATTTCCCTCCAACGTCTATAGCGTAGATTTTATTTTAAAAAAACACTAAAAAATTTCAGAGATTTTTGGAAACTCAGATCCCAAACGCTATGTAAATTTATTGTCATATCTTTGGCATAACCACCACATTGATTAAATCGAATAGCATGCCTTTGAATGACTTTGAGCCGGATTGTTCACTGCATACGCTTTAAAGAACGATACATTACCTGTAATCCCAATTGAAGAAATTGGCAAAATTAGAACCACCATAGTTTTGATTAAAATGATCAAAGTTGAAAGTTTTTTTTGAATTTGAGCTCAAGATATACAATCGGAAGTTAGAACAAACCTACCCGCACATCAGGGCAAAATTTGAACGTTCCGATTGCACTTTACAGCCAATTAAAAAACTTTTGCTTGAATAACTTATTACATGATCAAAAATTTTTTTTCTCGCTTTTTTTTTGTTTTATTATCAAGCTATGTTAAATATATAAGGATTTATTTAGCGTCTCGTATGCTAGTTATGAGATCAAATTTTTCCATTATTGTCGATTGCCGGCCGCTTACCCCTTACGCCTGTTATAGGAACGCAAAATATTTTGCATTTTTTATCCCAAATTGTTATATTTAACAGTTTTCAAACCCCCATAACTTTACAAAAAATGATCATTTCCTAAGTACTAGAGCATCTGGCTACATTATTTTTCAGATGATCAGACGCGGATATACAATTTTATCAAGAAGGGCGGATTTAAAAAATCAAAGGCTTTGTCACCGTTTTTTTTTCGAGCGCCCCCAGAGTACTAAAAAGAAATTTCAGCGCAAATTTTTAGTCGCAATACCGTCAAATTTTCCGCTTCTCCGCCCCTCTAATTCCGCTTCTGCATGAACGCTCAGCTAAAAAGTGAAAATTAACGGATAGAAAAACCACCCCACTCAAAATAATTCCGTCCATTCTTCAAAAATCCGACCAGCAAGTAGCCGTTTTATTGGAGTGAATTGTTTTTGTCCACGTTGTTTTGCTTGTTTGCTTACGTAGAGTTTACAAATTTGTCTCAACCCGAGTTTGTTGCACAAAACTGAACTGAAGTTTTTTTACTTTTACAGCAACCGGTTATTTTTCTTTCATTAATAATTTTTTTATGATTACGCTGACATTCAAGTTTTCTTTTAGGCCCTCAGCAAAGTGGTAAGGCGTTCAGTTTGAGATCCGACAGATCTTGTAATTGATCGCATGCTATGGCAATGATAGTGTATGGGACCGAGCTCTCACTTCATCTCTAGCTTCAGGTCTACCTCAGCTTGATCAATTTCGGCTGCAATAGAGGTACTATGTGAAAGTTTTGACGCAAAACACGGCGTTGAGTCACAAAAAAGTGCTTTGCTGATTAAAACCGCCCAGTCTGGGGAGTTAAGAAGGCTCTGTTTGCAAATGTATGGTAAATATTTCTTTGATGATAAAATGGATGAATGGTGCGGTTAGGTGTTTCATTCAGTTCTGCTCTATGCTTCGACTCAGTGCCGCTTTATGTTGCGACTCATTTCGCCCACATGTTGCGACTCCTTTGACCATATGTTGCAACTCATAATAAGAAGTATACTAAGACTAACATATCTAAAATTGAGAAATTGATATTGAAGGTATTAGGGTAGAACTGTCTTTTCCAAATAGGAATGGAAAAGTGCCGCAAAGTCCAATGGACCTCGATTAGACACAAACTATCAAGTATCTATTTAGGAAGATTAAGAGAGAAAAAACACAAATCATTCCATTCTCCCTTCAACCCACGGGCGTCGAAGTTTGAAACAAAATGTGACAAACTTACAAAAAAACTTTGAAAAATACAGTAGAAAATATACAAATCTACACGGAGATGATACGGATAAAAGTATACAAGCTGCATAGAGTTCGTTACAGATATTGGAAATAAGTAAGTCTAGACCAAATAAAACTTTGAATGTAACTAAGTCTTTTTTGTAAAAACGGGTGGGGTATATGAAAATAGTCTTAAAAGAAAGTTGCAAAAGTAAAGACCAATGGTATCAAGTACATCTAAAACCAGCGTTTTTGTTTAGTCAATTTAAAAAAAAATTGTTTTACTCAGGCTGCATTAAGACTGTTTAGTTGATCTGCCATGTTTTTTGTCTCTCGTTGTCCTGTCCCTTAACGTCAATCTGGGTCTCAGTAGTTTGTGATCCAGCCACGACCACTTGAGGATCCATCGATGATTGGTTTTTCGAAGATCATTGAGTTCTTTCGGCGACCAGAGTTGCGTTGGGTTGAATTTCTCGGTTGAAGGGGTTAAAAACGCTGATGGAGAATCAATTTGGAAACAGCTGTGTCCAGTTTTTTTCTGCAAATTTGGTGGGGGCTTAATTGAAATTGGGGAGTCTTTCGATTCTTCTACCAAGTTCACAATCGCCACTGGAGGCCCTTTGTTTATGAATCTCCTCTCTCCGTAGAATTTAGTCGGAGCAGGGTTTCTCCAAGGGCTGAGTAGCTTGAAGGTAAGGCCGGAGAAGATTACATCGTTTTTTTTTTCAGAAGAGCTCTCGATGGAGGTCGGATTTTTCTTTTGCCCAGTGTGGTGGTGACAGTGCCAGTGGAAGAATGCTTGTCACTGTTTTGGTGTCTCGATGAGTCTAAAAAAACTTCACAGATGAAAGATTGCAAGTCTGATTTGACACCGGAATTGGTGCCCAAATAACCATCCAACAGGTTGTCCCAATGGTCTGAGTCTAAGATCGACGCCGGTTCGGAAGTAAAAGAAAGGAAAATGTTGAATCAAATTCTCGCCTCTTCGATGAGGTGGATTCCATGGTTTTTGGAGATAAAGACGGTCCAGAGGTGCTCGAGCCAGTCTCTTATACGGAGAGTTTCTCTTTTTTTTTCATGCCAAAATCATCAGTATTAACTAAGTTTTTAGCTTTGCTAATTAAGTTTTTTGGAGCCGCTGGAAATTTTTTTTTGAAGGTAAAGTCGAATTTCCGAAGAAAGTGTCTGTTATCAAGGGTTATCGTATGTTTAGAGTCAACTACAACTTTTCCAATAAGTGGTGTGAATTAAGATTGGCTTTTTAAAATTAAGTGTCTTCCTAACCTAGTGCCCTCCTTGTTTGAAGGGGTTCGACAGCGAGGCTCTTGATGTGACGGGGTTGTGTTTTCTCCCTTGGGTCGCTTTCATAGCCTTTGTTCTCCTTTTTGAATCCTCAAAGTATCCGTCTTCTGTATCGTCGTTTGTAATCCAGTCCTGGGCTCTTGCCTTGTCACGGTCGATTTTCCTTATTTAAATGAGTTGCGTGTGAAACGAGGTTCTTCCAAAATGTTTTTTGGGATCTCTTAAATGTTTTATGACCGAAGATTCCAGATGAGTTTACCTAACGCAAAACTTGAGGTCGCCTTAGGTTCGTGGAATGACATTGCCACGCGTTTCGTTTTTACTGTGCGAATCAAAATTTCTACGACTCCGTTTGATCTATGATCTCCCGCTGTACACAACTTAGGTTAAATTTTTTCTTCTCGCTGAAATTTTTGAAATAGTTTGATATAAAACTTCAATCAAAGTCTATTTGACAAGATATCAGAAATTCGTGAAGCTTGCAGTAATCAGTTAAGAGAGAAAGTGTAGTGAGTGTCGAAGTGTTATTAACAACTTTTTCGAAGGAAGTTTTGTAATTCTATCAATGGATAGCAAAAAATTTTTTAGGCGCCCACCCAGTTTTTTGACAATGAGCTGCCAAAACCGAGGTTAAATTTCTTCATTGGGCTTTTTATGTTCTGGTAGTTTCTGTTTGTTAGCCGTTCCCAAAACAAAATTAAAGTTCTTACCGGCTGTTCTGCATTGCGAACAGTTTCTACCGTGATGATAAGTTTCCGTAAGAATAAGGGCCACCAGATGATTTCGGCCAACACCATCATTTCGAATTCTCCAGATTGTGTTTCGTGAAGTAGACTCATGAAAAGAGTTTTGAGAGCTGCTGAGACGATCAATTTTTTTTATTGAACAGAAGTCCTTCTTTGATTTATACGTCCCGATTTAAAGCCATTAAGTACGCATCAAACTTGTCCAAAAGTTTTCCGTTTTCAACCTATGTTTTGATTTCTAACAAGATTTTATCCTCAATTGTCCATAAACGTATAAGTCTGTTTGAACCGTGTTCCACAAGTACAAATCGAGATGAAGGTAATTTTAAATCTCCCTCGTACTTAGTAGGTAACTTCAATTGGATTTGAGTTATTCTGTCGTTTTCATATCTGAAAAAACATTCCTTTTTTTTCTGAATTATTTAAAATTTTTTGGGAATTAGTAGAAGACTGAAATTCAATTAAATCAAATTTGTTTTATGTATTTAGTTTCAAATTAGGTAGTGTATGAAAGAAGGTTGGAATAAGAACCAAAAAAGAACATTTGTCTCTGAACAAGACTGATTGAAACAGCAAATACGAATTGTGTCTGTTACTTAAATTGAAAGCCTCGCTTTTTCAATTAATGTGTAAGAGTTTGTCATTTTTTCTGACCCTTGGAAGAAATCTATCAAGTTAGTTATACTATTTGCGCTAGGTACATCGGTTGAAATAATAAAGTTCGGAGAGGCAAACATAGGGTTGATAAATTGGATTTGGTACAAGTTTCCTCTACTGGTTTATTGACCAGAAAGTTGTTCTTAGTTCTGAAATATTTTTCGAAATAGGGAGTTTTTTTAAACGCCTTTCCCAATCAAAGATCTCAAAATGTTCAAAATGTTCCAAAAAGGTGATTTTTGATCTCAATGAAGCTTTCGGGGCTATTAAAAAGTCGTCAACAAAGCAATTAGTAAAAAATAATATCTTTCGGTAACAAAACCATTATTCCTAGATATTCGTTTGTCATGTCTTCCAATCCGTAAAATCCAGTCAAAAACGGTAAGTTCCAGTGGTTTCACCATCCACTAGAACATAATTTTATTGCTTGCTCGTAGTATTGCATAGTTTTAAGTGACTTTAGCCGTCTCTCATATCAAGACTACTGAAGCAAAGTTCGCCTGAATTGTTGTTTGAGCTGTAAGGCGATGTTATTGATAACTTTGTCATTAATCGGCATTTGTGTTTTTTCTTTTGAAATTTTTTGATCGTTTGGAAATTTAGAGTCAAGGGTTATGCTTGGCGCACCGTTTGTTTTCTTGTGATCACTATATGGCTTATCAAACAACCTTCGTCACATTTATCTAAATTCAGGATGCGTCCGTTTTTCTCCATTTTTATCAGTTCAATAATTACGCTGTCTAGTAAATGAAGTGGTACTCTCCTACCCTTGCTTTGAATTGGTTTAGAGGATGATTGAAAAAGTGTGATATTTCTAATTGATGGGCTTTTCCTATTTAACCAAAAAAATCTTTAAGATGTTTAAACAGGTTGAGGATTGTGCTTGAGTAAATGTTTGATTTACAAATATCTGACTGTGAAACGTTGTTTACCGGATGAAAGCATTGTTTTTGAGCGTTCTCAATTCCAAGTTTGGGTAAATTGTCAATCCCAAAGAAGTTTCTCTCGTGTCCTGACGTAATAAAAGTTGGTGTTTTGTTTTCTGACGTTAATCTTGCCAATTAAGTTTATTGTATCGTTGGTAAAGCTGCAAAAGAATGCCCGTTTTTTTTGTCGACGGGAAGAATCTCCAATTGTAGTTCCCCTAGTTTTAACTCGTGAAAAACATTATGTTTTAAAAAAATTCATATATAGTCCCAAAGTGTCTTTTGTATTTACATTTTTTACATACTGTTTCCTTTGTCCAGCAAACGTTTAACTGAACTTTGTCATCTGCATTTCCACGTTTCACACACGAGTTCAACTTTTTACGTTCAGACTTGGTTCTCTTTTTACAGTCTTAAAATTTTTGTACACCTGGCCGTTGTTGCTGTCGTTGGCCGTCGTCATATTGGTTAGTTTGAAATGATTAAAAATTCATTTTTATTGATAATTGCCTCATTTAATGCTTTTAAAATATTCAATGTTTCCGATTCAACAGTTTTTCATGTGAAAGGTGAATACATCTCTTACCCAATCTTGCTCTGTGTACATTCCAATTTCGATCGTTCGTGCGCAACCCTATATTACTCCCCAAAACAGGTATTTTGATCCTTTTGTTTTCGATTCATCAATTTGTATTGTTTGAATGTGATGTTTGCTTGTTTCACAAAATCGAATTCAAGAAAATCGAAAAATTCTTTGATGTGATAAATAAAATTTTCACCCTGGGGTGTTTCTGTGAGAATGCTCTTTTCTCTTTGGGTCCCAGGGCCAAGTATAGGGCTGATATAATTATTTTGTCTGCCTTGTTTCTTCTCATGCCCCCGATTTGTCGTTTTTCCTTCGCGATTTTTTTGCCTTCTGCATTCTCGTAAATTCGCATCATGTCTTTGTTTCTGGCCTCCCTGGCGTTCCTCTGATGGTCATTTTCGGAAGTTTGGGCGCTTTCTAGACTTGAGATATCAATCTCCGACTCCACTAGATCTTTCAACTTTTCGATGTCATGTTCTCTTTGACGATAGTTGCGAGGAGGAGTTGGTCGGTCCAATTCTTCCTATGGGTGGGGGGTTCTGCAGTGTGGTTTGGCCAAAAGCGGGAATTCCCCGCAAATTCGGATCCGTAGTCTGCGCCATCATAAGAAGTGTTCAAATAACACTGTTATACTAAAACTAACTAATCTAAAATTGAAAGAAAAAGTGGAAGGTGTTAAAATAAAATTTTTCTTTTCTACAGAGATATACAAAAGTACCGCGAAGTCCTATGGACTTAGAATAAACACAAATTAATATGTATCTAATTAAGAGCTAGATGTCAAAATACGAGAGTTAAAAACAGAAATCACAACAACTCAATTCGACCACATTTGGAGACTTTATGTTGCGACTTTATGTTGCGACTCATTTCGATCATATATCGTGAATTTATGTTGCGACTCATTGTGACTATAGCCTTTGTGCCACTGTGGATTGTCGGTCAAACTACGAAATCTAGTTACACAATCTGTTACTGAGAAGAAGCTGTCACTTTGGCATACCTCAAATCTGACGTCGTCCTCTATGTCCGGGAGTGCCCATGAGAGTCTCAGCTGCTGTCTGGTGTAGTAGTTCCTGCTCATAGTCACAATCACAAACAGCACCACCTAAATAAAAGTTTTAACGTGTAAGATTTGGGCCGTTTTTGAGCGTTTTTTTATTAACCTCTCAAACCGCTCATTTTGAAGCAAGATTTTGAGCGCAATCGTCTGAAAAAACTGCTCAAGCCGCTCGAATCTTGCTTCAAATTAGGTGAAAATCTCGACTCGGCAGCAGGGATGCGACTGAAAGTAAAATGATGGATGTCTTAAAAACATCAAATTACCAGCAATACCAGCTATTCAGTAGGGTGCCCAGGGTAGAATCCTCAATTCTGAATGCCAATTTTTCCAAAGGACCCCTTTTTACATTCTTATGGATCTTTTCCAGTTTCCTACCCCTTCTTAAAATTATTTTTATAAAAATGATCAAAAAATCATACGGCAGTTTGCGTGTATAAAATGTTGCAAACATTTGTCTACTTGTTCAAGCTTGCAACTGAGTTTTAGTGGAACTGAGAAAACCTAAAGAAAGTTGAAATAAGCTTTGGCAAATCGAATCACAGAAAAAAAGGGAAACTAGAAAATAGTCGTAGATGTTACGGCATTCATTTTACGTCATTCATTTTTGGCGTCTATAAAATAGTAGTCCAGCTAAATCTGGAGGTACGTGTTTGATATTTTGAAGATTATAAAATGGGATTCGTTGATGTATTGAAGATTATATTCTAGAATGTACTGATGCGGGAGGAAATAGAAAACTTTTAAAATTCCAAAGACTAGATTTTACCCAAACTATAAAAGTATCATTTTAGCCGCTTAATTAGAGGAGATTCCTTCTACTCATTGTTTCCTTTCTAATCTTATGCTCAGATTTGGCAGGATAGTTTTCCATAAAAACAAATTTTTTATCCAAAAATGGTCCACACTTTAAGAACAAATTTGTCTCAAATCCAAAATATTTTTCTTCTAAAACATTGAGCCCTTAATCTCAGATTTGGCAAGGTAGTTCTAGACAAAGTTAAGGAAATTTCCAAAAAACGGTGAACATTTAAGAAAAATGAATTTTCAAATTCAAAAATTGTTTTTTTTTTCGATTGAACCCTTCTTTTCAGATAAGGCAGGGTAATTTTTCAAAAAACAGCAGAAGTTTCCGAGAAACGGTCAATCTTTCACAAATGGACTTTTTCCAAGTCCGAAACTATTTTATACCTTATTCAGAAACATTCCACTAGTTTCTTCGATGGCAGCCTTAATTCTACATTCGGGGGAGTCGCTTTTGAGGAAATTCAAAAATTTCAAAAAACGGTCAAAATGACAAAAAAAGGCCTTTACGTAAGGCTGCAACTTTTTTATACGAGAATCCGTAGAAGGTATGATTAGGTAAAAAAGAGATTAGTGGATTATTCAGGAACTTATGGGAGTAGCCGTTCTTTCTATTGGTGTTGTGTTTTGACATCGGTAAAGTCACTTTCGAGAAAAAGTTTAAGAAGGGAGTAGATAGCTAGAAAAGAGTCAAAAATATATATGATATGGTTTCTCGCCTTTTTAGCCCTCTTGTGGCGCACAAACTTGCACCTCTCCGTGTTCAGCAACAGATAGTCGTTCTCGTGCAACACAATCGGTCCCTTCGGCTCGTATTTCACACTCGTGACGTCATTATCTGAAGTAAGCTCAGTGTCGAAACCGAGAAACGAAGCGTAGGGCTCGGCGAACTTCGGGATTCCGTAGAGGGTTAAATTAGCGATGTAATAATAAGAGGTAATTACTATCGCTACCGCTGAGAAGCCCCAGAAATTGAACACGTAGAATTTACTTTTCCCCATTTTTAATTCTTTTTTTTTACAGGACTAAGAAAGAGTATGGACGGTTTTAAAATGTGTAATCGCAACTAAAAAAATGGCATAGAAAATATCAAAATTAAATATTAATGTATTGAGCAGGTGCCACACTATTAAAAATTACTTTAAAATTTTGATTTAGCTTTTCTTATTTTGAGAATATGGTTAGCATTTTTGCGATCATACGCAGAGATTGATCAAGGGTTTTAGCAAATGTGCACTTCACAATCAACTTCACAAACAGTTTAACCACCTTTTCAAAATATCCCTATTTTTCGTCCAGTAAAAGCGTTTGGCTCTTTTTCACTTTCCCCCACCTTTCAAACTTTCTATTTTTTAAACAAAGAATTGTCTTACATGTTATGGCGAAACGGTTGATGTAACGATAATATAAAGTATGAAGAACAAATGTTGCCACAATTTTCAGATTGTTCAATCATACCAAGTTTAGCTCTTTTTTCATCCTTCCCTCCCACCTCACATAAGCATCAGTTTTATGGCATAACGAGGGGTTTTACAAGGTTAATCATGAACACGAAATATGTTTGTCATGGCCTTATTAGCTTGCAACTTTATTAGTTTCATAACTTTCGGATAACGTGAACAAAATTTCACCAATTAAGTTTTGCAGGTGGGGGAAGGAAAAAGAGCCGAAGTGGGCAGGCTTGAATCTTTGTCAACAAAATCCCACCCGCACCGGAGTTCCATGGATATTATTTGATTATAATGGAAAAATTTAGTAAGAAATGTTGCCTCATAATCCATTATTGTTGCAAATTTAGAACAGGAAAACGATTATATTGTCATTATAATCGATTATTTTCGTAAAAACAAACGTAATCCATTAAAATCCATTAAATTGGATTATAATCCATTTAAAGTCCTTTATAATTGATTATAACGGATTGCAATCTTTACATTTTTTTGCGCAAAAACATTTGCAAAACTTGCAACATTTCTGCGTTACTCACGGCCTACTCGCAATCTAAACCTACTCAAATTATCCCCCCTCACTTAGCCCCCCATCTGCATTTGCCCAAGTCTTACTGAAAACAGTGATTCACAATGGCTTTTTCCTAGTGGTCAGTTGGAAATCGTTGGTCCGTCGAAAATATAAGTCATAAAATAATACCAAATTGGGGCCCCTTTGGTTATTGAGGGGGTCGAACTCCTAAGAAATCTGCCCCTGCACAAAGTTGATAAATATTTGCAGCCATTGCATTTTTTGAAGTTATGGGACGAGATTTCTAAAAATGGATAGTGAGTTATGTATTGATTACTATACTCATAGAGTAATTTCAGATAACGTACAACGTCTGCTCGTCACGCCATCTTATCTTCGGCCGGATAGATTCGTGCAACTTCTTAGTCTAATACCAATTTTAATCTTACTCTTATATCTCCTAGTCTCAAAAGATCTAGTGTACACCGGTTAACGCGAGTTAGTTCCAGAATGAGAACAACTGTATTCTAAGTTAAATTCAAATTATTCTGGTGTTGAAACTACAAGTAGTTTCCACACTTACAAATAAATAGGATGTTAGTTTGATGGAATATGATTGGTTACTATTTAGTTCTTTATAGAGATAAATGATCATAATAAAAAGTAATGATAAATACTATTTTAGATCTGGTTCCACCCATCCGGGGTCTAGAGAGTTTTAGTTTTTCAATGTTCTACTGTAGTGTAGGATGGATGATGATGTTTTTCTTTAGAGGATGCGAGCATATTCTTTTTTCGGGTTTTCGAAGAAGAGATGTTATCACGATAGTCTCGGGAGATCGTATTATGGTTTCTGATCGGTTGTGATGAGTGTTGATCTGGTTGATTTTAGAAAATAGGAGCATTACTAATTAACGTTGCTATTCTCTATCTCGTTCGGATGTGGCATGTGGTTTGACTTTGGATGAACTGCCTGATGACTCGGATCTGTACGTATACTTGAATATCGAGATGGTCATTGTTATGTTGCAATAGGTTTCCTTTGCTGCGATGCCAAGTCGTACTTTAAATCCGTTGAGTGTAGTGATTGTAGGCAGCATGTCAGGTGGGTCTTGCCACTCCGTAGTTGGAGTGTGATTGGGTTGTCAAGTTCCTTGCTGCTGGTCTCTGAGCTGTATATTATCTGTATACTACATTGTTTTTTTTTCATATATAAACCTTTGTTTATCTTGTTTTTCAGTCACGATCTTGTATTAGGTTTTATCGCAAAAGCGTTACAATTTAGTTCGGGTATTTTTAAGAGCTACTCACACTTGATTAACTCTCGTCAAAAATAGAGCTGTGGGTGTCACAAAACGTGGATGTATCACGGTGGGTGAGGCCGGCTATAGAGCATGCTCAGGACGTCTTCTTCTGGTGGGTTAGGCCAGGAGTGAGGGTATAATTTCATGCTCTCTTTTTTGGAGGGTCCTGTTTTAGTTCAACTTTTCGTGCTTATCATTATAACTGGTGTTTTCTTTTATTGTCTTAGTTATGATTTTCTCTCAAGAATCAAATTGTTTCTTTTGGGTTTGTCTCTCGACTTTTTGCTGTTTTGTTCTTTTGTGTTCAGACTTAAAAGTAGTCCTCAAAAGAATAATTCATCCAGTTCTAAGTTTGGGTACCGTGGGTTTTCTTTGTTTTTCATGATATTAGGTTGTGATTTGTGGGGTTTAGTAAGTTTGCGTTAGTTAGGTTGGATTTTTATATAGTTCCTTTCCAACCAGGTTAAAGGGAAGTTTGAAACGTTTTGAAACTTGTTAGAGTTGTTTTCAATGAAAGTTAAAACTTAAATTCATTATTTTAAACAATTCTTCGTGGGCGAGCTGTGCGATTGTGGATAGAGTTTGTGGGCGAGTGAAAATAGTTTTTACTGCTGTTTGCAATTTTTTGACATTTTTTTTTAAATTTACCACTTTAAAAATATGAAGTTTACTGCTTGATTTGGGGGTTAAAATTATTAAATTATTTTCAATTGTATGTAGATTCACTGCCTTGGGGAAAAGATTTTATACATTAATTTATTGTTTTGTACGAGCAAATTTTACTGCTTGATAATTGAAATTTGTTAATGAAAGTTTACGAATCTAGAAAAAGTTTTCCGTTTTTTATTTCGCTTTTTGTTTTGAAGATGATTGATGATCGTGCCTATGAAGAAAAAAGAAAAAATATAATAAGAATGATTGGTTTTGTTCAAAATTATTATTAAGTTATTTAATTCATATTACCTAATTGTCGTAGAAGAATCCAAGGGGAAAAACGCCGTGGATGATGTCTGATGAGGTTAGTAAAATAGCTAGCAAACGAATGATGTGTTTAGTTTGAAAAAGTGGCCAAAGCAATTTGAGTGCTTTATTGATGTTGTGCTCTTCAGTGCTAGGTGCTAATTCATACGGTGTATTTTGAATAAGGTTATAGAGTTTATGACGATAGCGAGTGTTGTATATGAACTCTAGGATCGGGACTTCAACGGGCTGGAGGATTTCGTCTGGGACGATGAGTGGGCGGGATTCGTCTATGTCTAAGAGTTTGGTTAGGGGACAGAAGATATACATCTGGGTGTTGGGATTATAGTTTCGTAGGATGCCTTGTAGGTTAGTGTCTTTAATACAATAGGTGAAGTTAAGGGAAAATGGTGAGTTCAAGTTAGAGTTCATGTATTGTTAATGTTCAAAATGTGAGAAACATTATGAAAAGAAGAAAAACATCTGTTCTACTGAAAGGATATTGGAACATTTAGAAAATTATTTGAAATATCGTACCTGAAATGGTGGTCAATGATTTTGGAAAAATTAACGTAGGTTTGGGCTAGGGAGTAAGAAATGATGAAAAAGTTGCAAAAAATTATCAGGGAGAGGATGAATGTTTCTAAAATGTCAAATATGAAAGTTATAGAAGGTTTAAAAAAATTCGAAAGGATTGAAAAAAGGTTTGAAAGAATATTATGAAAAGTGTTGACTGTTTGAGAAAGAAGCATTTGAAAAAAAATATTTGTTTCATCGAATTTTTTGAGGCTAAAGTCGAGTGTGGTCGGTTTATTTATTAGTTTTTTGACAAGTGGGTTGGACTTCGGCAATTTTTGATAAAGACAAATTTCGAGGGCTCTTAAGAGTCTTCCTGGTTTTGTTGTTATTTATTAGATGATTGTGGGGTATCTATGAGATATTCCATCTTTAGGCTAAATGATCATGTCCATTTTGTTCTTAAGGCTAATTTAATATGTTTGCCTGAGCGATTTTGAGGTCTAAGTTGGGCCAATATTGTTGATCTTTGTACTGCTTGATAGGGGAGGGTTGTAATATTGAGACTTTGTTTATTTCAGGTATCAATGTCTAGCATTTTGCCTGTTTTTGAACTGGAGGTTCTTTAGTTATAGTTAGAGATTGTCTTGAGGGTGATTATTTGTCGGCTAAAGAAATCGTGTTAGAAATGAGGCGATGATTCGGAAAGGTTTCTGATTGGCTGAATTTGAACTAGTTTGTTCAAGTGCTTTTCAGCATGAAATTGAGAAAATGTTCGGTTTATGTAATTATCTTCAAGAGGTGAAAATGTTAATAAAATTAAAGTGGTTTCCGAAATTTAAATTTCTTTAATAATTTGGATTGTGGGATGAATTTTTTGTAGTGTTGACCTGGCTGATTTCGAAATCGCGATGATTGTCTATGTAGAAATTTTTTTTTTTGATTGTGTGGTATAATTTTTTCTGTTTGAGGTATCTTTTTGTCTCTACTTTTTTTCTGATGTTTGGTTGGGAAGTTCTTTTTCATTTTTATCTAATGGTTTTTGGATAGAGTTCATATCAGTTCTTAGATTTTGTTTGTGATCTGGATTATTTTGAATAAGTTTAGGTCCTGTAAAAGTGTATAACTGAACAAATTCTCGAAGGGCGTACTCTTTCGGGTAATCAGGTAAAAGGTTGTTTCGATGAAGAACGATTTCTTTTTTGTTTAAGTCTGTAAGTTTGTATGTTACATCAGTGTGTTTATCAATTATTTCGGAGTGGTTGTAATTTTTTAAGTTCCTTCTTGTGTTGTAAACTTTGGAAATAAAATGTATGTTCCAATTTTAAAAT